TTCATTTCTGTGACTAGCCATATGACTTAACTTGATTTTTATATAATAATTATTCTGTGTTTTCTTCACCATCACAAAGTGCCTAGGTGGTTCTCTTTTTTTTTTTTTTTTTCCCCAGGAACCGTGACCCTCACTTTACTTCCTAGAGGATCTGGACTGTACATCATCCTGCCTGAATCAGGGTATTGCAGCTTCCTACTGACCTTAAATACCGAACGTGGTAACACCAAAAGGTATCCTAAAAGATTTCCTAGAGTTCAGAGATGCCTTTCCTTACCTCTGTTGTGGGGCAATAATGCAATTGACCTCGTTGTCTAGTTATTTTGTAATAAAAAGAAATAAGTAGGTAATAACTTCACCTTATCACTGAGATGATGTACTCAGTGATCTCTCTCCTCTTCACAATCAAACTTCACAAAGAAGGAACATTTCTATCTTCCCCCTTTCTCTTAAATTCTAAATGAACTCCCTACTTTCACCCATAGAAATGTCTCACAGTCTTTATAGATTATTGTGTCTCTATTGGAATGCCAGTCTCCAGTCCAAGACATTCAGGTATGTGATCATTTTTGTTTAAGGTAAGAGTTGCATATCAAGGCTTTAGTATACTGAGAGGGTATCACAAATATTTCTGTTAATTTGTGTTTTTTTGGTTATGATAAAAATATGATAAAGCAATTTCATTAGAGGAAAAATAAAGCATTTTACTTAGAAAGTACTGAGGGAGAAGAATTTGGTAGTCAGGAAGAAGGGCAAAGACAGTAAAGAACTAAGTCAAGATATGGTCTTTAGAGAGTAGACCCTGTAAACTGCTTTCTCCAAGGCCTGGACGTCCACAGCTTCTACCACATCAATGTGGCCTGCCCAAACCCGAAAATCCTTCTTTAGATTAGAATCATCAGCGTTGGCTTACTTCTGGTTACACCCTCACAGACAAACCCACAAATTTGCCTCACTAACCAGCAAGACATCATTAAACCCAATTATGCTGACAATAACTTCCAGACTCAGTGGGGGAAAACCTGGGTGTAGATTTCAAATTTTAACACACACACACACACACACACACACACACACACACACACACACCTGTGGATTTTGAAATCATTCCCCTTCCTTAGACATCTTACCCAGTACTATCAGCTCCACTGACATTTTCCATGTCTATAGACTACATCTGGACCTCCCTTTGGAACATCTCACACATACCTAGTTGACTACCGGGTATGTCTAGTTTCACTGGGTTGTAGGCAGTCAGCCTAAAAGCAATAACATGCAAACCGGTTTATCTTCTGCATACACAATAACTGGGTTCATATTTATAACATTAGTTATGATTTTGTGTTCAGTATGCCAGGTTCATGCTAGAGTTGGCATATCCAATTGATCACAATGTGGTATATATCATATATGGATATGGATATGGAAGATATCACTATATCTTCTTATACACTTATAATTTAAACCAGTCTCTGCCATATTAATATAATATATATCATCCACATTAAGATTTTGTTTATTTTTGCTTTTGTTTTTTGACACTTTTCCAGACAGTTTTTGCTTTTGGCACAAGTTACTTGTTTTAGACTGGTTTCAAACTACACCCAAATCACCTTGAACTTCGGATCCTCTTGCTATCAAATCTTTCCTGGGTGCTTGGATTACAGCCATGCTACAGTACATCCAGTTTACAAGGTGTCCATGGCCAGATCCTGGAGTTTTTGCATGCTGAGCAAGCACTATATCAACTGAGTGATATACCCTCTCCTTAAGTTAGGATTTTCTTATTTCTGGCTGGCACTAAATTTTCCCTCCCAGTCCACTCGGTGCAAATTTATCTTCACATCCGGGACTGCATTTCCACTGTGAAAACCTCATTTCTGCCTGTATTAAGGAATGTTCTCTAGAGGAACAGAACCAACAGAACATAAAAATTCCCTAAGGAGATTTATGAGATTGACTTACAAAATAGGGGTTGGTTAGTCCAACATTGGCTATCTGTGTACTGGAGAAGCAGAGAAGCAAGGAGTTGCTCAGTCCATGAAATTAGATGCCTCAGCAGCCCCAACTCAGAGCTAAATGCATGAAAAATCCTTTCAGAGTTGTTGGCATTGAGTCCATGTAGGAAACATGAAGTTTTCTATCAGTAGAGGATGAGACAGAGGCCACACACACTGACTTGGGAAGAAGGGAATGTGACAGGTACACACATTGCTTTTGCCTCAGACCCATTCAGAACTGGACCATGTACTGGAAGATGCCCACTGGAAGGCTGGTCTTTCATACCACAATTAAGCCCCTCTTGAAACGCCTTCATAGACATGCCAAGAATCATGTATTCTAGGTGATTTTAAAGCCCCTAAGTTTTACAATCCAGCCAAACACTGCACTCACCCTGTTAAGAATCTTTCAGAACTTTCCCATGACTGTTTCAGATGCCTGAAGCATGTTGCTTCTGAGGACTGACCTGTGACCAACACTCCAGATGTATCCCCTGCATCTGTGATGCAATATTTGCATCCTCTATCTCCGCTTGACTAATTAATATTCACATTTACTGGAGGAAATCATGCTCCTCATTTATCCCATGCCATGTTTGTTTGGGTATTTTCCCTCTCTTTTCACTCTCCTTTCAGCCCTGTCTATCCAGGACTGTTCTTTCTTTATGACTCAGCATATCTGTGGTCTTCTCTAACAACTTCCCCTTGATCTCTCAGGTTTTAGGATAGCATGAAATATATGCTAGCAGGATACATCTGGACTTCTCTCTCTCTCTCTCTCTCTCTCTCTCTCTCTCTCTCTCTCATCTATCATCGTCTGTCAATCACACTAGACTACCAACTACCTATCATCTATCTATCCAGCCAATAGGCAGGATTGGTATACAGTAGACCTGATATAATTATTTGCTGAATTACTGAATGAATGCTGAGTATACCTTTCTGTCATGTAATATCTAACCCTTGTGAAACCAATTCCAAGTTCATTTTGCTTCTCTGAAGTTTCATCATACCAAAAAATTCTTACTTGAACTTTGATCATGAAATCTCCAAGGGGGGAAAATACTTTGAAAAGTGACATTTTATGTTAGTTCTGGTATTTTTGTTTCATCAGGGTTTTCTTAATATTTCTGGGAATTTAACTTACTTATGTACTGATTTTTAAATTTCAGAATTATTTGTGAATTTAAAAATAACAACTTTTGTGTTTAATGCTACTAGATGTTTCTGAACCCAGCACTTTGGATATTTCAGCCATTCCAATTTGTTTTTGGGTATTTCTATTTAGAATAAAGTTGCTATTTACTCTATGAAGAATAATTAAGTTGAAAAGGATCTTATATTTATCAATTTTTTGCCCATTTTTCAGGAAAGAAATTATATTTTAGGTCTTTTTCAGCATAGTTTTATTATTTAAAAATATTGTAAAAAACAACAATTTTGAGAAGATTTAGATATCTTTAATCGTTTATGCTCAAAGGACACTGTCCCTTAGGGAAAACTAATCACTCAGTTTCCAAATCCTTCAGTAACAAGATACTAAAACCTCTTTTTCATTTATTAGTTCAGGATTTCCTTGCTTCAGGATACCCATGCAGGCATAAATAAAATATTATTCAATCTGGTGAAGCAGATGAAAAGGTAAGACTATAACTCTGTCTGACCTAAGAAAAGCAACCTGAAATTAATAGGTGCTTCATTAAAAACAACCCGCAAGAACTGGGACTGTAACTCGGAGGTAGAGCACTGTGCCAAAAATCCTCTAGGACCTATGCTCAGCCCTAGCAAATCCAGCCAACCAGTGGACACCCTTCTGGATGGAAAAATACTCTAAACCTAAAAACAGAACACTAGAAAAGTAACCTTCAATCGTGTCTTCCTGTCATGTATGTTGTGAACTGTCTGTTTTCATAAGGAATATGTCTTCTACTTTCAGAGTTAGATCAAATCACCTGGTCAGTTTCATTGTTATCTTATTGGGTCCCTTGCTTTGATTTATTTTTTTCTCCTTTTACATCACTTAAATATTAAAATACAACCATAAGTTTCTCAAATAAAACATTATTTTGTTGTTAAACTATTCTATGCTGTGGGACAATGGTCTTGTATTGTTTTAATAAAATGCTGATTACCCAGTAGCCAGGCAGAAAGTATAGGCAGGACAACAAGAACAGGAGAATTCTGGGAAGAGGAAAGTCTCAGCCCTGCAAGCATCACTCAGAAACAGAAGAAGCAAGATAAGAGTGCCTCACTGATAAAAGGTACCAAGTCACATGGCTAACTCAGTCAATGAATTGTGAGCTAATATAAGAAATAAGAGTTTATAAGAAGCCTGAGCTAAGAGGCCAACCAGTTTATAATTAATGTAGACCTCTGTGTGTTTCTTTGGGACTGAATGGTTACAGGACTGGGCAGGACGGAAACCTCTGTCAACAATTCTGGGTTAAGAAAGCATTAGTTTCTATATCCTACAGACAGCCACTTTCATACTTTAAATTTGCTGTTCTTCATCTTAAAATATGAATAGCATTTAAGGCATTTTCATGATGCAGTTACAATAATGGAAGTATCAGAATCATAATGAAACAATATTCCAAAATGTTTCAAACAGATATGTTAGGAGAGGAAGGTTGACACACCGAATGTTGTGAAAATGATGAGAATTTATTATTTGAAGGTGGTGATGGGAACAAAAATGTCTACATTTACAAATCTGTATAATTTTTGTAAACTAAACATACTTCGGTAAATCAGGACATAAAAATGAACAATTGATTGGGCAGGATAAGTGGTACCTTTCAATGAGAAGATAAATAAAATGTGTTGAGTGTGTGGTGGCACTTTTTATCTATTTGGAAATTTCTTTTTAGCATAGTCAGGCATTTGGAAGTACCATGGTAAAACATATGGTACAAAAAAGTAATTGGATAAAACTATATGTTTAATATCAGCTATTGAGCTGAATTTGGTCATTCAGAATCAGAAAAGATTTTTTTAAAAGAAATAGGCTGTGTAGGCCTACGTAAGCACACCATGTTTAGAATAGATATTCACTGAATATAGTTGACTTGTCCTCCTTTTTTTCTTTCTTCCTCCTTCCCCCCTACCTCCTTCCATCCGTTTCTCCCTGCCTCCTGTCACTCTTCCCACTTCTGCTTTTCCTTCTCTTATTTCTAATCTCTTTCCTCTCTCTCTTCATTGTTCATGTTATATCGATTTGCTTTTAAATATTC